TTTGAGTGCACATACACTTGACTTCCTTTTATTCTACATTAATAAAAACTTACATGCCAAATTTATATAACATCTATGCTAAAAGGCTAAAACTTTCTTTTTACCAAGCTCACAATTAAGTATGACAGCATAGAAAAAAGGCAAGAGCACTTGTTTTTGAGTATTATGAAGAGATTATGGACTATTGAAGCCATTCTTATTTCAATTGAGACTGTGTAGTTGAAAGTCTTATTTGTATGAAAATTTTAATAAATGAAAGCACTTACACTTTTGCTGCTGAACGAAGAAGGGAGTAGACTTATTTTAATGTCTTGATGCTTCATGGTGAATAATCTAAAATATATATATACATATATATGTATATATATATATATATATAGAAAGAAGACAAAATATTGCCAAAAGTCCTTTGCCATAAAAAAATGGACTCTGATGCAAAAATGAAATAGAGAATACATAACTACCTGACCAAAGAACGAAACATACAGGGCCATGAGACTACCTTGCCCAGCAGCTGCATATGCCTTCCCATCAAGTTCTAGTTATGGTTTTTGAAGATCAGCAAAGCTGAAAGACATGGATGAACATGAATCAAAATTGCCCCAAACATGAGATCTATATGTAGATCATATTCCTATGGTATAAAAATCAGTCTAGTTCCCTTATCTTCCTTATATTATTTTATTTTATTTTCTTCCTCTTCATTTTTTAGTGGGTAGTCCCAAATTTATATTGAACCAAGCTAATTGAAGTAAATCAAAGACGATGAAGAAGAGGAAACTAAAAAAAAAAAAAAAAGGAATTCAACAAAAACCTACCGCTCCTAATTGTTTTCATCTAAGCCTTTAGAGAGGCTGACAGCACCTAGGATCACCAAAATAACCTTATGTCCTTGAGAATTCAATTCTTTAGCCTGTATTCCATTCAACAGTTTAACAGTCATTGAATGAAACAAAGAAAACAACCCAGTTTTGTTGCAACATAGAGAAATTACATGCCTGTTCACATGATGAAAAGAATCTACCAAGTTCTCATATTCCATCATTTCGCGTAACAACAGCAGCCCCAACCTAAAATAATCAATCATTCAAAACATTAATCCATCAGAGATCTAACTTTACAATTCAGTTGATTACATTGCAAAATTTTGTTTAAAACTATTAAATGAAAAGGAGCCTTAATCACTAAATTCAAGTGAAGGTAATGAAACAACTTCAAATTGAATGCCTAGCAATTGAAGAAATCATCCAGGATACGAACAAAAAAGAACAGATCGGATAAATGTAGCAGACCTTAATACCAAAATGCTTGACATCTTTAACAAAAGAGCGAGTACAATCAATGCCATCCATCTTGAGGTAGATCAGAGCAAGTCCGACACAGTGAAAGCATCAGTCAGGATTATGAAATAAGAAGAGCTTCTTTCATAGAAAACTAAGTCAATGACAGAAGGAGAAATCAAAATAAAAGGGAAAGAAAAATTCTTTTACCTGCAGGAGTTGATTCGAGGAGCTTCACTAAGGCAAGTCCCTCAATTCCCTCTCTCCGTTGTCTCCTTCACTTCTTCCAAATAATCATTGTGATCTTTTAGAGACATAATTAAAATAACAATAAAGACATAATCCTTATCATCATAAAGACTATAATTTGCAATTCAAGACAAAAAGAAAACATTGAGGAAAAAAAACAAACCCTAAGAGAATGCATACCAACATTTAGATTCTGCAATTGATAAAAAGGTTGCAAATAACCCTAAGAGCTGTTAAATGATGCTCCTACATGACAGCAAAGTTGCAGCAAAGTGAAAGCAGCATGGAGCTGCACATGGGCAGCAAGAACTGGCAGCAAAGTTCAACATTTTAGTCAATGTTTTGGGTAGATCAAAGTTATTGTATTAGGTAGGAAAATATTATTGTTTTATGTGTAGCCTGTGTAGCCTTCCTCTATAAAAAGGAAGGAAGAAATTGATGAATATTGAGTGTGAGAAAGCATGGTTTCCCTCTCCGGTTGGGTGAATGTCTGCACCCTTCCATGTTTATGGTTCTATGTCATGTTCATGTTCAAAGTTCTCTCCTCCTCTCCTAATCTAGTCTCTCCTCTCTCCCTTAAAACAAAACTTAACGTCATGTAGAAAATCTTTTCATTTTCATCCAGAAATATTGCAAAACCAGTTAAATTGTTATTGTTCAAGGGCTTTTTTGGGAGTTTAATGGACAGGGCTTTGTATTTTTTGGTTGATTTTACAAAATAGCTCCTCAATGAACTGTTTGCTTTCAAGAGAATTGACCATTAGAATCAGCTCCTCTAATGCTTAGAAATGGCAAAGAAGGAATATTTAATTATACACCTGGAACCCTAAATTATGTTGTGTACAGGAACAGAAGCACTTATGATTTCTACTTTTACCAAACACTAAATCCGAACAATGAAAAATTCAGTTCCTTCTAAAATGAATAATACAGCCAATAATCACAACCAGAGAATTTTAGGACCTTCTACCAGTCAATTTTTTCTAGTAGGATAAGTCACAAAAAGATTACTTATTCTGTTTCTTCCTGAAATTCCAACCCAGAACAACTTACATTGCAGAACCAATATTTACAGTGCAGCAACCTCAAATAAAAAACTCAAATCAATCATAAACCCATGATCAAGTTCCTCAAAATGAACCATCCAAAGCAAGTATAGATTTTTAAGACAAAATCAAGATATATGCTATACAATTTAAAGATACAAATTGGAGAAAAAAAAAACATGCCAAAGACTTATGAACAAAATGATATAACTTACATATCTGTGGATTCCTATACTTCTTCAGCTGCAAAAAAGAAGGTGTCCTTTTGCAGTAAATCAAGTGACAGCAAAATATCCTACATACAAAAGAAAGATTGGCACAATTAGACAACAAAATTTCTTTAAACGACAATCTTGCAAACATTTGATTTCAAGCAAAACAGACCAAGAGCAATATTCATAAGAGCACACCTTGCCAAATTAAGAGGGTTAAATACATAACTTTTCTGAGCTCTTGCTTGCTTGAACCTGAGATACCCACCCCCAACAAATTAAAGT